CCCATCCATTTCGGTTAAAAAATGGAATTTATAGAAATATTTTTTCGATGGACTAGAAAAGTAGGCTGTTATGCGGAATCGTAAGAAAAAACGGTGACGAGTTATCTCTAATCTAAAGCGCGAAAGTGTTAAGAACTCTGCAGACGACCCAGGAGACCCGCGCCCGCAAACAGGGAAGGAGGGAAACTGGATCAACCCAAAACGCGTCCCCGGACACAGAAGCCGTGGCGCGCAAATAACGGCGAAGGGCCACAACCGGATACAAAACATGATGCACCCCAGGTCGAATCAACCAAGCATCAACAACCCAGGGACCCCTCCGGAAAGCAGAGTCTCATTCTTCACCAGAAATGAAGGAGACAGCTGCAGACGAACAAAACCATCACGAAGACCGGAAGAGCAGAAACCCCTACGCCGGAGGAGAGCATGAAGCTCCCCAACCCGACCGCCAGAGGCCAATGCCAACAGAAAAAAGAGCCTTGGAGAAATAATCCTGAGCTGAAAGGGGCCACAACAAACCAAGGAGAAGAAAGAATAGAGAGCACTCTGTCCAATGACCAGGACGGCTCAGGCGGCGCATGAGCAGGCCATAAGTGAAACAATGCATGAGACAGCTTGCGAAACAGCACAGAAGTAACATCAATACCGAAAGCAAGCTGAAGCAGCCCCGCCAGCGCCGCATGATACGAGGCAACAGCATTAGCCATAAGATGACAGTCCTGGAACAACTGAGAGCGAAAGGACAACATTACTTTAAGAGAAAGCGAAACACAACGATGAAGATGCAAAAAGAACCGGAAGGACCATACTGCCGCCAAGACGAAGCCCGCACGTGGGACACTAACAAGGAAGCCACCTGATCACCATAGAGATGATGATAAACTAGAGTCAAAAAGACCATGCGCGAAGACTCGAGGAGAAGATCGAACCGGCCACGTGACGCTCCGGTCTGATCTGCTGAAAGAGGCGGAGCCGTGGGAAAACTCTGGGTTCAACCACTGGGCAAGCAGCACCTGAAACCACGGCCAAGCAGCACCGGCCACCATGGGGCCTAGAGGAGGCCAATCCGCTGGTAGGTCTCCAAGCGAGTCAGGACCTGGAGCAACAGCTGATATGGGTAAAAGAGGTACAGGAACCCCCATCTCGACTAGTCCTGCTGAAAGACATCGACCCCGACAACCTCACAGTCGGGGAAGGGCGCCACATACTGGAGAAGACGCCGCGACCATGCTGACACAAAGAGGTCCACCTCGGGACACCCGAACGTCTGGCAGAGCCAAAGGAAGGATTCGGCGTCGACCCTCCATTCCATGGACAGGGGAACGAAACGAGACAGGCCGTCGGCCAAGATGTTGGACACTCCCCGCACGTGAACCGCCAGGAGAGCCAAACACCGAGAACTCAGCAGATGAGTCACCCGAAGTGACCAGCGCCAAAGAACCAAGGACCGCATCGAACCCCCTCGATTCAGGAAATGAACCACCGGGGAGAAGTCCGAATGGCGCTGGATTGTCAATCCGCGGGACGACCAGAACCCTCCGAACAGCAAACCACACCGCTGCGAACTCCCGCACAGTGCTGTGGGCTCGACGGAAAGACGGTCCCCACCGTCCCTGGCCGGCCTGGTGAGCATAGGTCAAAAAGCCCCAGCTGAGAGACGATGCGTTCGCGAACACATCAAGTGAGGGCTCAGACAGACGCCAAGACACTGAACCCCGAAAAACCCGAAGAGGAAGCCGGTGACGCAGCAGCCGACGAAAGGCCCCCCAGAGGTCAAATCCAGTGATCGCAAGAGGGGCCGAAAGGACGTCCCCGAAGGAACCAGAACAGCCGACGAAGCCAAACCCGACCTGGAGGGTAGACCATCATTGCGAAGTTTTGCCCCAAAAACAGGCGCAAGCGAGACCACAGCTGTAGGAGAGACTCCAGAGGAAGAGACAAGGAAGCAGTCCGAGAGTCCCACACAAGACCAAGCTATAAAACCTGGGAGGGAACCAGATGGGACTTCCTTCCTTCCTCGGGTTCACCAAGAACCCGAAACCGGCGAGTTGGGAAAGAACCAAATCCCTGGCTAGCAGACAACAGGATCGGCTGGGAGCGCAAATCAGCCAGTCGTCGAGGTAGGCCAACACCCAAACACTTAAGAGACGTAGACGGACCACGACGACCCGTGTAAGGCGTGTGAACACACGTGGTGCTTGATTCAACCCGAACGGGAGACAACGAAGGTCCCGGAGGTCCAGGGACACCATCCAAGAACCCGGCTCCAATCGGAGTCGAACCTGGGACAGCGTAGTCATCCAAAAGGAGGGGCAATGAACCCAGGGGTTCAGACGGGATGAACCGCAGGTGTGACGTGTGACGCCATGATCGTTTGCTCGTTTCTTTTAAGGGAGTTCTATCCACTTGTTCGGCTTGTGGTAGCAATTTTCACCAGAATAGAGATTTGTTTTGGGACGCTTGCCTTTCTGGATGCCTGACCCGGTCGATGGCAGACATAGAATTCTTCCAACCACACGGGGGTTTCTATAGGCCATTGCTCCCCATGCCTCTCTGAGGGGGCCAGGTTCTGGCCGTGGTCCCCTGTAGGCCCACAGAACTCCATACACATGACTGATGCCAAAGTCTGACATTAGCATATCAGCCTAGTAAGCTCCGAGAGCCGAAGGGGCTCCCCCCACCCCCAGAAAATAGTACAGTACAGTACTGTAGTTCACTATACTGAATGTACCATGATCCCCTGAATAGAACATGATCGAATACAGCAAATTCATTCATAAATACTAATCCTCTTTATTCCCAAAGTTGTAAAAAAGGTGAGGTAAGTTGACATGTTGCCATTTGTGCAACAATGAGTGTCGGATGGCCAGCAGGTATAATTGTTGTTTTCCTTGAAGCTTCTCATGCCTGGGTGTTGGTGTGTCTCCACATGATTCTTATGTTTATCCCTTCCACCTATTCCTCTGCCTTTGTTGTTGTATAACAGGCAAAGGCCATCAGGCATGTAGTTACAGTTAGTCAGTCAGGTAGGCAGTCAAGGAAATCACAGTCAAGCAGCATCAGGCAGTTTCAGACAGACAGGCAAGGAGGAATGCTAATGAAAAGTGACAAAGATGTGTGTGAAGAACTCATCAAGAGGTTCCAGGTCATCTTCAAACCAGAACCAGATTGGTGTCCAAATAGAAGTTGACAAAAGACAACCAGAAACAACACTATAAAAAATTGAAGGTAATATACAAGAGATAAAAGGACACCTATAGGAACTGATGTTACAAGAGCAGCAGTAGGATCAGACCAAATATCACCATGAGTACCGGAGGAGGCTGCAGGAATCTTGTCTTACCTATTAACTATAACTAATGGTTAAGACCATTAGTTATATATATATATGTGTATAGTTACAGGCCAAGGAGGTCTCGTCAGAGTCTGGGCAGGTTATCTTGAGGTTATCTTGAGATGATTTCGGGGCTTTAGTGTCCCCGCGGCCCGGTCCTCAACCAGGCCTCCACCCCCAGGAAGCAGCCCGTGACAGCTGACTAACACCCAGGTACCTATTTTACTGCTAGGTAACAGGGGCATAGGGTGAAAGAAACTCTGCCCATTGTTTCTCGCCGGTGCCCGGGATCGAACCCGGAACCACAGGCCCAAGACTTTTCAACACTCTTTCCATACACATTCGGGTGATAACTGGCCGACTTCTCGCAGTATTCAAAGGAGACCTCAACAAGCACCTCCAAAGGATACCTGACCAACCAGGCTGCGAGCAACCATGTCGAACAGCCTGGTTGATAAAATCAGCAACCAGGAGGCCCAGTCAGAGACCAGGCTGTGGGGACACTGATCCCAGAAATCATCAACAGGTAGACAACAAGTAGGTGCCATAGGTCCAAGTCACAAAGCAAAATGATATTTGCTTACTTATCAGTGACTACAGGAAAGCAAGTTCTAGCTCTTTATACAGCACTTCAAATCCATTTATACTTGGCAAGCTAATTACTTCTCAACATGAACATTTTCATCATATATTTTTGTTAAGTTGTGGATCTTGAGGTTATCTTGAGATGATTTCGGGGCTTAGCGTCCCCGCGGCCCGGTCCTCGACCAGGCCTCCTTTTGTTACACATCCCCAGGAAGCAGCCTGTAGCAGCTGTCTAACTTCCAGGTACCTATTTACTGCTAGGTGAACAGGCGCATCAGGCTGAAAGAAACATTTTGCCCATTTGTCTCCGCCTCCTCCGGGGATCGAACCCGGAACCTCAGGATTACGAATCCAAAGCGCCGTCCACTCAGCCGTCAGGCACCCGGGATGGAATTGCATTCATCATCATCTTTCTTCAATGTATCCTACTAGACGACCACTTGGGTTTATGAAGTTTTCCAAGCAGTATTCTCTTTTCATTAATTGGTCTTTTAAACTGCTTTAAAACAATACAAAGTGTCTTTCGTGCAAGTTTCAATTAGGGGCTACAAACACTATATTTGCTGCATTTAGGAGGCCAGTAATAAATGGATTTTCTTTTGCATGTTTTTATACCAGAATGTTGAAAATAAGAATGACATTATTGTATTCATGGAAATGTTGAGGTTTCAACTTGTGTTAACATCTGTGGCCATAGTAGAGGCACCAATGTGTTTGTATTATGTTTAACATTTGACAAAGTTGATTGTAGTCTTGATATTTCTAATAATATTTCTCCCTCTTTCTCCTACTAAAACACCTCCCTGGTAGGTAAAGTTGGAAAATGAGAAAACAAAATGGGGGAACATTTTACACGAGTTAAAGTTGTGAATGTATGGAGTAAGAAAGTCAAGTTTCAGTAAAAAATGAGACAGGGGAAGATTAAGAGTAGTGATGATGATATGCACACAGGTTGATGATGTAAAAAATGTTACTAATGACATATGTAAAGTAAATGAGAAGATTGGGTACCAATACAGACTTATTAACTGTATAACTAATGATAACACACATTATACTTCATGATAACATGCGCACTTACTTTTAAGACAAGTTCCGGTATAAGAGCTGCTAGATTATCAAACACAACTTTAAGTTTTTTTCTGTAGTCATCAAACATAGCTTCATCTTCTCCTGCCTGCTCAAAGTTGTAAGATTCATCATATTTTGTTTTTGTGATGACAACATACAACATATTTTCAAGAAGACCACGTTCCACATTGGAGATCTGCCCAGCTTGCTTAATTAACTGAAATAAAATATAAAATACAAATGTAAATCAGACTGTATTAAAATGTTGTCCTAACAGGTACAGCCACAAAATAACTCCTTGTATGCCAACAGTGTGCACACTAATTCTTAGCCATGCACGTCACGCTTTTTAATCCTGATTTAAAGATGAGGACTCGCTAGGATGAGGTGACTAAGGAAGGTTTAACTGGGTAGATACCAGTGACAGGACTGACTACTGGCCAAAGTGTTAGTCTGGAACATTTTGCATCTGAGATCCAACCTATTGGCAGCCATTTGCAATAGGGAATTCAAACTCCAGTAGTTTCAGGTGAACCAATTGTGTTGAATGAATTGCTTGCAGTCATTTGTCTCTTTCAGTGATCGTTTTCTGAGCCTAGGAGTTGTCTTTATTGCATCACTTACTTTCTGGGAAGCTTCCTCAGTGTGGGTGATCATAAAAATTCCCAGCTCCCTGCACTTCTATGAGGAAGGATGGGGGGGGTTACCTTGAGGTTACCTTGAGATGGTGTCAGGACTTAGCATCCCCACAGCCAGGTCCTCAACCAGGCCTCCTTGTTGCTGGACTGATCAACCAGGCTGTTGGACGCAGCTGCTCGCAGCCTGACGTATGAATCACAGCCTCGTTGATCAGGTATTTTTGGAGGTGCTTGTCAAGTTCTCTCTTGAACACTGTGAGCGGTTGGCCAGCTATGCCCCTTATGTGTAGTGGAAGCGTGTTGAACAGTCTCGAAGGGTCTAATGTTGAGAGAGTTCTCTCCCAGAGTACCTACTGCACCTCTGCTTTTCAACGGGGTTATTCTGCACACCCTGCCATGCCTTCTGGTCTCATGTGATGTTATTTTTGTGTGCAGGTTTGGGACCAGTCCCTCTACTATTTTCCACATGTAAATTATTATGTATCTCTCCCGCCTGCGCTCAACAGAATACAGATTTAAGAATTTTAGTTGGTCTCAGTAGTTTAGATGTTTTACCGAGGGGATTCTAACAGTAAAGGATCTCTGCACGCTCTCCAGGTCAGCAATTTCTCCAGCTTTGAAAGGGTCTGTCATCGTGCAACAGAATTCCATTCAGGAGAGCACTAAAGTCTTGAAGAGCACTATCATCATCGGTATAACATCTCTAGTGTGAAAGGTTCTTTTCATCCAACCTGTCATTTTTCTTGCAGTTGTGACAGCTACTTTATTGTGTTCTTTAGAGATAAGGTCTTCCAACATGAGTACACCCAAATCTTTTACATTGCCTATTTGTTCTATGTTATGATTTGACTGCATTTTATATGTGGTTTCTGATTTTATATTTTCATTTCTTCCTTACTGCATAAGCTGGAACTTATCTTTGTGAAACACCATATTAATTTCTGTAGGTCATAGAAAGACCTGATTTACATCTGATTGGAGGTTTGCCGTGTCCTCTATGTCGTCTACTCTCATAAAAATTCTAGTGTCGTCTGCAAAGGATGATAAAGTACTATAGATTGTGTCCTTGTCTATGTCCGATATGAGGATGAGAAGAAGTACTGGAGCAAGCACAATACCCTAAGGGACTGAACTCTTCACTGTTGATGGATCGTATTATATTTTGTTGACTAGTACACATTGGGTTCTGTTAGTCAGGAAATTGTAGATCCATCTGCCTATTTTTCCGGTAATTCCTTTTGAACGCATTTTGTGTGCAATAACACCATGGTCATACTTGTCGAAGGCTTTTGCAAAATCTGTATAAATTGCATCAGCATTTTGTTTGTCTTCCATGGCATCTAAAGCAATAAAGCAATAAAAATATTACTGGATTTTGTTCATAGGAAATCAAACAATTTCTACACTGCATGAATTAAAAGGAATAAGAGGAATAAGACAATACAGCCTGTATGGGAGGATGCTACACAAAGTCAAGCTTATTATAAAATCATCACTTGACTCTAGTGTATTCTGTTACCAGTACCATCTGGAAAACAAAGACACTAAATCAAACAACAGTAAACATGGATGACATTAAGTTGAAGAATTTAATACAGGAACATATATGAATTTTATCTTAAAATAAAGACAAGGCTCACACCAGACAATCACTTCTACCCAACAACACTTATGTTGTGTTGCAGACGACACAGAAGCAACAAAGACCCCACAATACATTTCATCTATGAATTTCAACTACAAAAGTAGGAATACTTTATTTTATAATTTTGGCATACAGTATTAACATTTTCGTCCTCCAGGGACGGATTTGATGTCCACAAATAACTCTGTGGATGTCCGGTGGGGACGCATGTGGCATCCAAAATTAAAATACAGTATTTGTTAAAATTCCATTTTTTACCCGATCATTATGGGACAAGTTTTAAAATGCACACCTTTAGATTGTGAACAATTTGATGCCAGAATGAACGGCATAGCATTAAAATTGAGGTGAGAAAACTGAACAGAGTACGGTATACAGATTTTGTGTATAACGCTCATGGGTAATGCTCGGACGCTTTTTGGGTTTGCTGCGGGTTACACGCCAGGCTTTTTGACCCGATATGCATATATTCCTTAAGAGAATTTTATTGTGAACAATTTGATACCAGAATGAACGACGTAGCATGAAACTTGAGGTGAGCAAACTGAACAGAGTATACACATTTTAGTGGTGGTGTGCGGTTGGGTGCTCGCTCACGGGTAACACTCGTCCGATTTTAAGGTTTGCTGTGAGTAGCATGCCATGCTTTTTGACCTTATATGCATATATCCCCCCCCCTATGCATAGGGGAGGGGTTGCTTTTGGTCCTTATGTGCATTTACCCCTGTAGGGAATCCTATTGTGAACAAATTGATACCAAAAGAATGACGTAGCACTATAACTGAGGTAAGAAAACTGAATATGCACATTTTAGTGTTGTTGCACGCTCATGGGTAACACTCGGCCAATTTTAAGATTTGGTGCAGGTAGCACATCGGGCTTTTGGACTTTGTATGCATATACCCCTATAGGAAATTCTATTGCGAACAACTTGATACCAAAATGAACGACGTACAACGAAAATTGAGGTGAGAAAAATTAAAAGAGTGTAAACATTTTAATGTGATTGCCCTCTCGTGAAACGCTCGGCCCATCTTGGGGGTAGGCTGGGGCGTGCACGCCGGGAACGAGAAAGTGTTACGATAATGGTTCGTTGTTGTTTGCTTGTCAGTGGAAAGGAATGCAGAACAAAACACATGTGACCTTTTGTTTTTTATTAATCAAATATAATATCCATATATACTGGCCCATGTATCACAGCTGTCGTGAGTGTGTGTGCAGATTTGAATTAATTTTCTTAGTACTGAACAGTGCTACGATAGTTTTCTCAAAATAATGGTACTGGTTTCAAATTTTCACTGTACAGTACTTAATAATATATACTGGTATACTTAATTTACCAGTATTGAATATATTTTTAAATTATTTTTCCAAAATGTTTGCTGACCACATAAGGACTATGATTTTAATTAAAATGAATGTATTAAGTGAACCAATACTAAAATACCCATTAATTTATCCTGTTATTAATAATAAGAATTTATCTTTACCTGGATGTAGTCCCGAGCAAAATCAAAGACTGCTGCAGATATGTCATCATATTCGCTAGCCATAAATGTCAGCAGCAGAGTGACCTTGTTCTCCACAGCTTGTCGAACCATTTCTCTCTTACTACTCTCTTTTTTATCTAATCTGCAAAAATAAAAAATGTTTTAATGAAAACTTTAATGTTTTTCAATATTCACAGTTATGTACCATAATTATGTAGGGCACGTTATGCCAGGGAATGTAATGCCAGGGCACGTTACGCCAGGGCACGTTACGCCAGGGCACGCTATGCCAGGGAATGTTACGCCAGGGCACGTTACGCCAGGGCACGCTATGCCAGGGAATGTTACGCCAGGGCATGTTACGCCAGGGCACGCTATGCCAGGGAACGTTACGCCAGGGCACGTTACGCCAGGCATGTTACGCCAGGGCACGCTATGCCAGGGAATGTTACGCCAGGGCACGTTACGCCAGGGCACGCAATGCCAGGGCACGTTATGCCAGGGCACGTTACGCCAGGGCACGCTATGCCATGGCACGTTACGCCAGGGCACACTATGCCAGGGAACTTATGCCAGGGCACATTACGCCAGGGCACGTTATGCCAGGGCACGCTGTGCCAGGGCTCGTTACGCCAGGGCACGTTACGCCAGGGCACGTTATGCCAGGGCACGTTATGCCAGGGCACGTTATGCCAGGGCACGTTACGCCAGGGCACGTTACGCCAGGGCACGTTATGCCAGGGCTTGTTATGCTAGGGCACGTTATGCCAGGGCACATTACGCCAGGGCACGTTATGCCAGGGCTTGTTATGCCAGGGCACGTTATGCCAGGGCACGTTACGCCAGGGCACGTTACGCCAGGGCTTGTTATGCTAGGGCACGTTAAGCCAGGGCACATTATGCCAGGGCACGTTATGCCAGGGCACGTTATGCCAGGGCACGTTACGCCAGGGCACGTTATGCCAGGGCTTGTTATGCTAGGGCACGTTATGCCAGGGCACGTTACGCCAGGGCACGTTATGCCAGGGCTTGTTATGCTAGGGCACGTTATGCCAGGGCACGTTATGCCAGGGCACGCTATGCCAGGGCACGTTATGCCAGGGCACGTTATGCCAGGGCACGTTATGCCAGGGCTTGTTATGCTAGGGCACGTTATGCCAGGGCTTGTTATGCCAGGGCACGTTATGCCAGGGCACGTTATGCCAGGGCACGTTACGCCAGGGCACGTTACGCCAGGGCACGTTACGCCAGGGCACGTTATGCCAGGGCTTGTTATGCTAGGGCATGTTATGCTAGGGCACATTATGCCAGGGCACATTATGCCAGGGCACGTTATGCCAGGGCACGTTAGGCCAGGGCTTGTTATGCTAGGGCACGTTATGCCAGGGCTTGTTATGCCAGGGCTTGTTATGCCAGGGCACGTTATGCCAGGGCTTGTTATGCCAGGGCTTGTTATGCCAGGGCACGTTATGCCAGGGCACGTTAAGCCAGGGCTTGTTATGCCAGGGCACATTAAGCCAGGGCTTGTTATGCCAGGGCACGTTATGCCAGGGCTTGTTATGCCAGGGCACGTTAAGCCAGGGCTTGTTATGCCAGGGCACGTTATGCCAGGGCACGTTAAGCCAGGGCTTGTTATGCCAGGGCACGTTATGTTAGGGCACGTTATGCCAGGGCTTGTTATGCCAGGGCACATTATGCCAGGGCACATTATGCCAGGGCACGTTATGCCAGGGCACGTTATGCCAGGGCTTGTTATGCTAGGGCACGTTATGCCAGGGCTTGTTATGCCAGGGCTTGTTATGCCAGGGCACATTATGCCAGGGCACATTATGCCAGGGCACGTTATGCCAGGGCACATTATGCCAGGGCTTGTTATGCCAGGGCACGTTATGCCAGGGCACGTTATGCCAGGGCACGTTATGCCAGGGCACGTTATGCCAGGGCACGTTATGCCAGGGCACGTTATGCCAGGGCTTGTTATGCTAGGGCACATTATGCCAGGGCTTGTTATGCCAGGGCACGTTATGCCAGGGCACGTTATGCCAGGGCTTGTTATGCCAGGGCACATTATGCCAGGGCTAGTTATGCCAGGGCACGTTATGCCAGGGCACGTTATGCCAGGGCACGTTATGCCAGGGCTTGTTATGCCAGGGCTTGTTATGCCAGGGCACGTTATGCCAGAGCTTGTTATGCCAGGGCTTGTTATGCCAGGGCTTGTTATGCCAGGGCACATTATGCCAGGGCTTGTTATGCCAGGGCTTGTTATGCCAGGGCACGTTATGCCAGGGCTTGTTATGCCAGGGCTTGTTATGCCAGGGCTTGTTATGCCAGGGCTTGTTATGCCAGGGCACGTTATGCCAGGGCTTGTTATGCCAGGGCACGTTATGCCAGGGCACGTTATGCCAGGGCTTGTTATGCTAGGGCACGTTATGCCAGGGCTTGTTATGCCAGGGCTTGTTATGCCAGGGCACGTTAAGCCAGGGCTTGTTATGCCAGGGCACGTTATGCCAGGGCACGTTATGCCAGGGCTTGTTATGCCAGGGCACGTTATGCCAGGGCTTGTTATGCCAGGGCACGTTATGCCAGGGCTTGTTATGCCAGGGCTTGTTATGCCAGGGCTTGTTATGCCAGGGCACGTTATGCCAGGGCTTGTTATGCCAGGGCACGTTATGCCAGGGCACGTTATGCCAGGGCTTGTTATGCTAGGGCACGTTATGCCAGGGCTTGTTATGCCAGGGCTTGTTATGCCAGGGCTTGTTATGCCAGGGCACGTTATGCCAGGGCTTGTTATGCCAGGGCACGTTATGCCAGGGCTTGTTATGCTAGGGCACGTTATGCCAGGGCTTGTTATGCCAGGGCTTGTTATGCCAGGGCACGTTATGCCAGGGCTTGTTATGCCAGGGCACGTTATGCCAGGGCACGTTATGCCAGGGCACGTTATGCCAGGGCACGTTATGCCAGGGCACGTTATGCCAGGGCACGTTATGCCAGGGCACATTATGCCAGGGCTTGTTATGCTAGGGCACATTATGCCAGGGCACATTATGCCAGGGCACGTTATGCCAGGGCACATTATGCCAGGGCTTGTTATGCTAGGGCACGTTATGCCAGGGCTTGTTATGCCAGGGCTTGTTATGCCAGGGCACGTTATGCCAGGGCACGTTATGCCAGGGCTGGTTATGCTAGGGCACGTTATGCCAGGGCACATTATGCCAGGGCACATTATGCCAGGGCTTGTTATGCCAGGGCACGTTATGCCAGGGCACGTTATGCCAGGGCACGTTATGCCAGGGCTTGTTATGCCAGGGCACGTTATGCCAGGCACGTTATGCCAGGGCACATTATGCCAGGGCTTGTTATGCCAGGGCACGTTATGCCAGGGCTTGTTATGCGAGGGCACATTATGCCAGGGCTTGTTATGCCAGGGCACGTTATGCCAGGGCACGTTATGCCAGGGCACATTATGCCAGGGCACGCTATGCCAGGGCACGCTATGCCAGGGCACGTTATGCCAGGGCACGCACTCTGTTAGGAATCAGAAGAAACAATTCAAGGACTGCCTCAAGGTGACCATCAAGACCTGGATATCAACACCAGTACTTGGGAGTCACTGGCTCAGGAGAGTCCAACTTGGAAAAGGAAAGGCACCACAGGGGCTCGTGTGACGGAAAATAGACAGATTGCAGAGGCCAAAGAGGAAATGTGCCGCACACAATGCTAGAGCAACCTCCACCTCTGCAGTAGCACCCACCCAAGTGTGCCGAGAGTGGCCGAGCCTTCCGGCCCCAGATTGGTATCCTCCTCCATGTGGCACACGGCCACTGACCTTCCACCTGATACAGAATATTGAAGTCATGGTTATCTTTGCATCCGAAGGATGAATATCATGTACTATAGGGGCCCAACTCCCTATAGAAATGTCACAAGCGGACGAAGAAAATCACATTCTATTTTCTGAAAATGGCTATCCATAATGCTTTTGTGTTAAACAAGTACTGTACTACACAACTGATAAAGAAACTCATTACTCAAGTTCCATGAAATAATAATTTGGTCACTGTTGAACTCTTGAGTATAAAAATTGCTTCTCTAAAATGACATCATCATACAAGCTGGTGATGTACATGATGATGAGAGCAGATCTACTGGCGACAACGTTGCAACACCCGGACCATCAGGTGTGAGGTGGCCACTCTTCCCTTCTTCACCTCAAAATGAAGATTAGTCATCTTGTACCATGCTCCAGCTTGTACCATCGCAAGAGGACATACTGGGTGGGTAAGCAATAATGCTTACCACCATTCCACTCCACCTATGAAACATGTGTTCAGAAACTTCAGGAAAAGTTTTCCTGGAGCAGGTGGAGTGGTTCAACCTAATGCTCAACTTATGCTCTACAATCATCATTGGGTGGCAAGTTCAAACATGTTTATTAATTTTTTATACTTATGATATTGTGGTACAAACACATATGTGAAAGAAGCAAGACACAAAACGAAGGAAATAGTGTAACAAATAACGTCGGGAACGAATAACGAGTGTAAATAATGACAAAAAGCCAGTTTTTTCAAATGACGAAGTACTTTATTCTTATGGTATTGGTATGTTGTTCTTCCATTTGCCCTAGTATGCATATATCGCTTTAGAACATTCTATTGCGAACAAATTGCTACCAAAATAAACGATGTAACACAAAAATTGAGGTGACAAAACTGAAGAGAGTATACACATGTTAGTGCGGTTGCGCGCTCACAGGAAATGCCAGGCCGACCATGGGGTGGGCTGGGGCTCGCGTGCTGGCCCAGGCAAAGTGTTAAGTGACATTGCATTATCTTCTCTAAAGAGGTAAGTATATATAATTTTAGTATGTTATAGTTATATAGTTATAGTTATATGTGTTTGTGTCTATGAATCATTTGTTTAATTTGTATTTTTATTGTCTTTTAGATCAGATGATGAACAAATGTTTGAAATGTAATATACTAATTTAAATACAAGTACTTTACTACTATAAGATGTTTATTATGACAATAATCCTCCTTTTCATTACAAAATGTACCATATACTGAATGTACACACTAAACTCATCATTATAAGCTTACAACAAAAACATTTAGACATTCTTATGCATCCTACATGTTACCAAGGCTCATTAACTCACTATCTTGCTCCAAAATTGCTATAAATCCGTCTTATGCATTGATCGAATCTTAGATGATTGTGAGGAGCAAACACCCTTCAACACCACTTTTTACCTTACACAATACTATCAAGTGTTACACAAACCTTCACATACTCCTCTCCTATCACTCACATGTATAGTTAATTGTGCTTTCCTCCAATTACACCTTTAGTAAACAAATCCTACTTTATTAACTTCTTTTTCCTTCAGTTGCTGCCTTTTCTTGTAAGTATTCTGCTGAATGTATGTTTTCTGAATTGAGTAAAATATAAAATACCCTCCTCTCCTTACTGAATACTTGTTCATTATACATTTGATAATGTATAATGATAGTGTGTTCATGAATAATGAACACATTTGATAATGTGTTCATTATACATTTTGGCCGAAATGCTATGCGTGCTAGTGGCTTTACAAGATTCTAATTTCAACTTAAACTCTATGTTCTCTCTTAACCCCCAATGTACTTTCTTGTATATATATAAATAAAAAATAAAAAAATTTATAATATATTAGATAAGAAACTACAAGAAACTACAAGAAGACCTGGACAAACTGGAGGAATGACCTAGAAAATGGCTACTAAAGTTTAACTCTGGAAAGTTAAGTACACTGTAATGAAATTACATGAAGGGAGCAGAAGGTCGAACATAAGGACCATCTGGGAGGCAAAATCCTGCCGGAGTCAATTAAAGAGAGACATCTCGGGGTTGATATTACACCGAACCTGTCCCCAGAAGCCAACATCAAAAGAATATCATCAGGAACATGTGCTAAATTGGCCAAAATAAGAACTGCCATAAGAAACTTGTGTTAGGAATCATTCAGAACCTTGTATACCACTTATGTCAGACCAATCCTGGAGTATGCAGCTCCCAGCCTGGAGTCAATACCAAGTTAAACACAAGACAAAGTTAGAAAAGATTCAAAGGTACATCACCAGACTAGTCTAGTCCCAGAACTGAGAGGTATGAGCAACGAGGAAAGGCTATGGGAGCTAAACCTCACATCCCTGGAAGACAGAAGGGCATAGGGGAAGACATGATCACCACCTACAAAATTCTCAGAGGAATTAACTGAATGCACAAAGATAAACTACTTAGCATACTTGGAACATGAACAAAGGGACACAGGTGGAAACTTAGTACCCAAATGAGACATAAGACATTAGAAAGAATTTTGTCAGTGTCAGGGCAGTTAACAAATGGAATACATTAGGCATTGATGTGATGGAGGCAGACTTCATACACAGTTTCAAATGTAGATTTGATAGAGCCCAATAAGCTTAAAAATCTGTACACTAGTTGATTTACAGTCGAGAGGCGGAATCAAAGATCCAAAGCTCAACCCCCGCAAGCACAACTGGGTGAGTACAACTAGGCCAGCACTTTTATGCATGCCAGTCTTAACACCAGTAACTTCCATGCATCTTCTATAATTTTATATAATTACAGTACTCAATTTAAATTTTTTCCTGCATTTACTAAATATCATTACCAGTCTGTAATACAATTACAACATATTTGTAATATTATTATGTTAATATACAGACAGAGCATATAAAAAATAAACTTACTTCTGCCATGAAAGAATGAGCTGAACTCCAATTCCATTAATCAGACGAGCTAGCTTCACAAGGAAGTCAGAATCATCATCCTGTAGGTGATCAAACATAAGAAATTATATTTTCAATTCAAAACTTAAATAACATCATACAACATGCTACAAAATAGTAATTAATTGTTGGCAACTTCCAGCTAAACAAAACCATGTTGCCTAAAGCATGGCATACAACCAGCATTGAATGCAATGAAACTCCATTTTCTGGATGAGACCCGGAGGCTCCCCAGAGCTATACCGGGCACATGTGTATATATTAGATCGTGGCAACAGCCAATCGATTGAGTTCTAAGCCTACCAGGGACCAGCACCAGAACCTGGCCCTCCCCTCAGGAGAGGCACGAGGAGCAATGACCTATAGACACCCCATGTAATTGGAAGCAGTCTATGTTTGCCATCTACCAGGTCAGGTACCCAGAAAGGAAGGAATTCCAAAACAAACTACAGCTGGTTAAAAACTGCTAACCAAAAGCCGAACTAGCGAACAGAATTCCCAATCGAAAACAAATAAATAAGCATGACGTCACCATAGCCGCAACGCCGCTGTCTGCACAACTTCCCCCTCCCCGGGAGGGGGGAAGGGGGAGGGGTACACAGACCTCACGCACCGGCTACCCAACTGGAGTTGGGTAGCCGGTGCATAAAGTCTGTGGAGGCTGAATACCAAAAATGCTAAAAAACCAGCGTTTAATGTAATGAAACGCCATTTTCTAGGCGAGTCCCGGAGGCTCCCCAGAGCTATCCAGGCTAAATGGATATGTATACTTTCTGGCATCAGTCAATGTGCATGGAGTTCTTGCCAACCAAGGACCACGAGGCAGAACCTGGCCCCCTCAGAGAGGCACGAGGAGCAATGGCCTATAGAGACCCCCCTGTGGTTAGGAGCATTCTATGTCTGCATCGACCGGGGACAGGCACCCAGAAAGGTAGGCGCCCCAAAACAAACCCCTATTCTGATAAAATTATTGCTACCTAAAGCCGGACGAGTGAACAGAACTCCCCAAGCGAAAATTAGAAATGAGCATGACGTTGTCATGTTGCCGCGCCGTCGTCTGCGCAACCCCCCAACACCCCGGGAAGGGGAAAGGGGCGCCCCAGACCCAACACGCCGGCAGCCCAGCACCAGTTCTTAGGCTGGATGTCCAAACACACGAAAAACACCGCCAACCGGAGGGAGGGAGGGATGTCGGGGAGCCTCCGGGACTCACCCAGAAAATGGCGTTTCATTACATTACACGCTAGTTTTCTGGGGAGGAGCCCCTTCGGCTCTCTGGAGCTAACTACCCAAAGATAAGGAAAATCAGGGACTTACCTGGGAGGCAGTCCGTCCTCACTCCTCAACGTGAAATCAAGACAACTGGCTGCAACCGCCAACCCAATGTAACGCAGGCCCTACTAGGCCCAAGGACATTCACTAGGTAGCGAGCTGCCAGGATCCTGTTCGACTTCCAAAAGCCCTGGGGCCGAATGTCAACCCAGGACATGACGCCAAAGACGGCAGCCAAAACAGCAAACTTGCGAACGACGTGAGCCCGGAAATAGACCGCAGGCTGGCTAGACTTAATAACCCTGGGGACGACCTGAGAGACCTTGATCCCGAAAGCAGGGAAGAGGGAAAACCGGGTCAACCCAGAGCGCATTCCCAGCCACCGAAGCCATAGCACACAAATAACGGCGAAGAGCCGCAACCGGACATAACACATGATGCACCCCTGGCCTGACCAACCAAGCATCAACAACCCAAGGCCCCCTCTGGAAGGCAGTTGTCTCATTCTTCGTCAGAAAAGAAGAAGACAGTTGCAAGCGAACAAAACGACCCCCAGGACCAAAAGAGCAGAAACCCCTGTGCCGGAGGAGAGCATGCAGCTCCCCGATCCAACCCCCAGAGGCCACCACAAGCCGAGGAGAAGAGAGAAACAAGAGCCCCCGGTCCAAGAACCAGGACGGCTCAGGCGGCGCATGAGCAGGCCGGAGGTGAAACAATGCACGAGACAGCTTGCGGAACGGAGCAGAAATAACATCAACACCGAAAGCAAGTTGAAGCGGCTCCGCCAGTTCCGAGGCGACAGTATTCTGCACAAGATGACGGTCCTGAAACAACCAAGAGAGACAGGACAAAACAACCCTATCTGAGACCGAAGAACACCTACGCAGTGATAGGAAAAAATGGAAGGACCGCCAGAAAACTTCATACTGCCGCTGAGATGAAGCATGCAGGTGGAAGACCAACAACGAAGCCACCTGAGCACCATACAGCACAGGAAGCTTGTTTTTGACTCTATGATAAACTCGAGTCAAAAACTCCATACGCAAAGACTCGAGGAGAAGACCGAACCAGCCTCATACTGGACTGGCCCGATCTGCTAAAACAGGCGGAGCCGCGGGAAGACCCTTGGGTTCGTACACCGAGCAAGCAATGCCTGAAACCAAGGCTGGGCCGGCCACCAAGGAGCCAGAAGGACAACCCTTCCCTGGTAAGTCTCCAAGCGGGCCAGGACCTGGAGCAACAGCTGAACCGGAGGAAAGAGGTACAAAAAATCCCACCGCACCCAGTCCAGCCGAAAGGCATCGATCCCGACAGCCTCGCAGTCGGGGAAGGACGACACATACTGGGGAAGGCGCCGCGACCATGCTGACGCGAAGAGGTCCACCTCGGGGTGCCCGAATGTCCGACAGAGCCAACGTTAGGAGCTGGCGTCGACCATCCATTCCGTGGACAAGGGAATGAACCGTGACAGGCCGTCCGTCAAGATGTTGGACACTCCCTGAAAATGAACCGCCAGGAGAGCCAAACCCCGAGAACTCAGCCGAGTTCTCAGCAAAGTTCTCGGGGTTTGGCTCTCCTAACGGCTTACGTTTGGGGGGGGGGTGTCCAAAGTTTTGGCAGACAGCCTGTCACGGTTCATTTCCCTGTCCACAGAATGGACGGTCGACAACAGCTCCTTCCGTTGGCTCTGCCCCGAAGAGTCAAAGACCGCATCGAACCCCCGCGGTTACGACAATGAACCACCAGGGAAGTGTCCGAATGGAGCTGGATCGTCGATCCACGAGCAACCCAAACTCTCCGGAGTGATAACCAAACCGCCGCGAACTCCCGCACCGTGCTGTGAGCCAGACGGAGAGACATGTCCATGAACACACCCAGCGAGGGCTCGGCCAGGCGCCACGGCACTGAATCCCGAAAAACCCGCAGAGGAAGCTGGCAACGCAGCAACCGACACAAAGCCCCCGGGGGTCCGAACCCAGCGATCGCAAGAGGTGGAAGGAACGTCCTCGAATAAACCAAAACAACTGACAAAGCCAAACCCGACCAGCATCGCGAAGTTCAGGCTCTCGCACAGACCCTCAAGCAACCGCCGAATGACCCGGGAGCCCCTCAGGAACAGAAGCAGGCGGGACCGCAGACGAAGCAGAGCTGCCAGAGGAAGAGACAAGGAAGCGGTACGAGCGTCGCACCGAAGACCCAGCCAAGACCGAACCCGAGAGGGAACCTCACAGTTGTCTGAGGATGTGACCCAGCTTGGTAGTTTTATTGATTGCGAGCAGACAGTTCAAGCAGCTCCAGATGTCATGGAAGGAAATTTTGGTAAATCGTGTATAATCATTAAGGGTAGTAAAGTATTTTTTGTATCTAAGTTGCAGAGTTTTATGGACTGTGATTCTTATTCCATGGGGAGTAAAGATTTGTCATTGTGTAAATTGAGTCAGAGTCTTCGTAGGATATTCTTGCAATTTATTGTTATTCTGCAGGAGCCATGCTCCTTTATAGAAAGGGTCTGTGGGACATCTTTGTCCAGCCTTGTTGTTGAACAAAGAGAGTTTACTCCAATAAGTTGTGCATGCAAGTTGGGAAAAGTTGTGTGTAGGATGTTCTTGCAATTTATTTTTATTCCGCAGGAGCCATTCTCTCTTGAAGTAATGGACTGTTGGACATATTTGTCCAGCCTTGTTGTTGAGCAGGGAGAGTTTACTCAAGTAGGTTGTGCATCCAGTTGTTCTGGGGAAGTGGTGAGTCATACTAGAGCAGTGTCTACTTTCAGATCCAGTTTATTTTGATGTATGAGTAGTGAACAACATGTATGTTCCACTCAAGTGTTGTGTTGACTTTGAGTCAAATTGGTGTTGAAGGTTTTAATCAGACTTGGGAGCAGATGTTCGAGGCTCCAGGTGTGTGTTTCAAGTTGGGAGACAAGGTTATCCCGCCTAGTTGTTTAAATTGTGAAAGGTTGCAGATTATCCTTGGGTGGTTCGGAGGTAATCTGCTGTGCCTCTTCAAGATGATCAGACCCTTAAACCTCTTGTTTGATTGTTTGTCACCAGAAGGAAGTCACTTGGGAAGTGAAATCCATGGTAAGGGTTGTCAAGTTTTCTGCATGTTTTTGTTATCTTTTTGGAAGACTAGAATGTTTATGAAGGTGCGGGTTGTATTCAAGTCCACCATCAGAGGGTGTGCACTTGTTTTTGGAGTTATGATTGAGATATGGTGCATAGGCATAAGCCTGTTTTCTTTTGCTGATCGTCATGACAGAGTTATGAGGAAATTGACTTGCGTGTTCCTTGAGGATCATCTGAGTCAGTTCGATCAGGTAGTCTTTGCACTAATCTTTGTGGGTTGTATTTATTGGATTGTAGATCAAAGGTTTGCCAAGTCTTTGTGTTGTGCTTCTGAAGATTCTATGGGTGAAGAAGTTTTATATGTAATTGTGAGGTTTAATTCTAATTTCTCTATTTTTAGTATCAATTGGGCGAGGGTATGTGTTGCACAGAGGATCAAGTGTGATGAGAAGCAGATGTCCTTGCCAGGGCATACCCGGGAGAAGTCCATAAACCACCTTACAGCCAGTCACCTTTAATTAAGCAGTTCACCTCCAGAAATAAGGAGTAATGGAAAATGGAATCTGTCTTTGGAAAATGTACCAGAAAGAAAATTAATATGGAAACATGAGACTGATCTCAAAACAATTGTCGAAACAGAAGGAAAGATAATTTGTGGTATAGACCTCGTGAAAGCGGTTACATTTATTGACAGTTCTATTCATGAAAATAATAATAATGTTGTTGATAGGAGTGTGAAATATGAGTTCCTAAAATTAAGTGTAATAAATGAGATAGTACCTTGGAGAGATAAATTTGCATACTCCAGGTGAACATATGTAGAAGGTGATCACAAGACTGAACTTCTTAATTTTCATGTAAGAATATATTGGAAGTGTTTTCATTTTTGTTCAGAAATATGTCTTTATTACTTTTAAATGTTTGGTGTAATTAATTCAATAAATCTCAAGTAACACACATTTTTACTTTCAGAAAAATGCCATTGATCTTCAATCAATTGCATTTTTTTTCTTGGAGGTGGAAGTATGTTACATATTCCTATTTAAGGAATACTCACATTGATATACAGTGTAATGTTGATTATGTTTTGTTCTTAAATGAAGTCATGTATATATATATATATGTATGTATGTATATGTGAGAAAGCTGCATGAACGCGCAAGCCATATATCACTAAGAACTCTTTGACCTGGCCAGGATTCGAACCCATGCCGTCCAGGATCAACCCTAAACGTACACAGTACTGTGACCACCGCACCAATGATCATCTATAAGGATTGGTCAGTCTTGGCGCTTGGCGATCATTGGTGCAGTGGTCACGGTACTGTGTACGTTTAGGGGTGATCCTGGACGGCATGGTTCGAATCCTGGCCGGGTCAAAGAGTTCTTAGTGATATATGGCTGGCGCGTTCATGCAGCTTTCTCACACATGTTAGACTCAGTGCGGCCCGTGCATGCGCCAGAATTTGATGAAAAACTGTACCCAAATGGATCCATGAGTGTCGTCGGGGGTTGGTCAGTCAGGGAGCTTAGTTAATAAGCGCCAAGTCTGACCAATCCTTAGTGTTGATAGAGTACAGTATTGAAAGTGTTAATGATTATTAAAGCCTTGATAAAAAGATACTGTACAGTGTAAATATACAGTAGAAATAATTTTCAATTGTGAATTAGAATTAGAACTCCTGTGAATTAGTAGTAAGGCTAGCTGTTGTGTGAAGTGAATGCCAGAAAATAAGTGTACATACTGTATGTACCCTGTATACAGTACTGAACAATATAAACAAGCGCTGCAGAGGATGACGTAATCTTCACAGCTTCGTAATCTTCAGCTTCATTAAAAGTAAGTCAATTTACCAATTTTATTATAGTATTTCAACATATTGTTTTTTTTCAACAAAAGCTACATATTAATCTCTGCAAATGTATATTCTATCATTAGCAGAGAAAAGGTGAGCTCAAAATATTTTGTCTTGGCTAGCTCTCAGTGACAAGGATCTATCGCCATTGTTATGGCCTGGCCGCCACAGCCTGTGTCGTAACATTGAAAATACATTACCTGCACTGTTCAGGGTAAAACAAAACACATCTCTAAAATTTTATTGAGAAAATATTAACAATCACTGATTGATACATGAAATATTTTGCAATACAAAGGAATGAACCAATTTTTTCCCACCCATCTGTACTTGATCAGACCGTGTTCACACATCATCCATGCAGCAGCCAACAACTGGCTTAATCGTCGGCGTGGCACTAAATTGGAACGCAATTACACAATGATTTTTATTTAATTTTAGTTATACAGTATAAAATATATCCTACCCGAATGTTACTTGAAAAATTACCCGACCCGACTTAACTTCGGAAATAACGGAGCTCCAGAAATACCGACCAGGGTACAGCCCCATATAGGCTGTTAAATTGAGTGGATACATGTTTTTAGTTTGTTAAATATATTATACTATATATATATATATATATATATATATATATATATATATATATATAAATTCTGCCTATGTTTATAACCTGGTGTTATATTGTTCTTTCTTGTATGGTACGTACTGATGAGGCACCCTGGTTGAACGTATTTAGATACAGATTTCAAATTCATACCCTAGACCACTAACTTCTTGTCCCTGTAAGTTAAATGAGTGGTGCCTACAAGTCGTAACAGAAGGAACAAAGGTCGAAGCGACCAACACCCCCAAATCCTGGTCCTCAAAACCAAAGCAGGGCAGCTCCAGGGCCTCCAATCGGGCAACCAACCCGGCTCGTTGCAGAACGGAGAATCAAGCTTGCAACACAGCTGCAGGCTAATCCTTGAGATCAACAGACAAGAAATGAGTAAGGTGAAGTACAAGGGGTGAACAAGGCCCACAAGACTCCAGGTTGATGGTGTCGCCGAACCAACAGGCAGTGTGACAGAGGCAATATGGCTAATCGTTTTCCTGAGGCAGGGGCAACGAACAACCTTCGACTTCGCACAAGGCAAGAGCGGGTTTGGAAGAAGTAGCCATTGTACGACCGAGCCCACAGGGGTTTTTCAGGGCCCATAGGGTGAATTAGCCCTATGGGAAGCCCAGGCACTGAGGCTAGCTAAGCTGGTAGAACCCTGTCAGGTAGCAGGCAAACTGACCACCAGTAGCAGCTATGTAACCTCAGGGAAAACAAAGGACTGCCAACACAACCTAGGGTTGCTTAATAAGAAGCTAAGCAGACCTCTGTCTAAACAAGGCGAGAATGCCAGCAAACAAAAAGAAAATGAATACAAAACCCCCCAAAGACTGACAACAAACAAACCGGCAGTCAGAGAGAAACATCAGCCACTGCGTTAAAGTAAAGCTAGCTGCGCTAAAGCCAGCTGCAGTGCACCCCACCCAGCCAATAACATTCCCCTACCCAGGGCAAGACAGAAAGCCCTTAACCCTCCGGCATATCCCAAGGGTGAAAACAACAAGCTATGAGCTACACGCAAGGGCAGTACTTAGGGAACACCTACACTAAGACAGGGGACCGACGGCTGAGTGGACAGCGCTCGGGAATAATAGTCCTAGGGTCCCGTGATCGATCCCCGCGCTGGCGGAAACAAATAGGCAGTTGCTTTCACCCTGATGTCCCTGTTCACCTAGCATTGAATAGGTACCTGGTAGTTAGACAGCTGCTATGGGCTACTTCCTTGGGTGGGGGGGGGGGGGGAAGAATAAAAAATCAGTTGATTGATAGTTGAGAGGTGGGCCCAAAGAGCCAGAGCTCAACCCCTGTAAGCATAATTAAGTGAGTACAACTAGGCAAGTACCTGGCCACCACACCACACACACACACACACACACACGTTCTAGATAGAAAACTATCACCTGAGGACCACATAAAGAATATTGTGCAAGGAGCCTATGCAATGCTTTCTAACTTCAGAATTGCATTTAAATACATGGATGGCGATATACTAAAGAAATTGTTCATGACTTTTGTTAGGCCAAAGCTAGAATATGCAGCTGTTGTGTGGTGCCCATATCTTAAGAAGCACATCAACAAACTGGAAAAGGTGCAAAGACATGCTACTAAGTGGCTCCCAGAACTGAAGGGCAAGAGCTACGAGGAGAGGTTAGAAGCATTAAATATGCCAAAACTAGAAGACAGAAGAAAAAGAGGTGATATGATCACTACGTACAAAATAGTAACAGGAATTGATAAAATCGACAGGGAAGACTTCCTGAGACCTGGAACTTCAAGAACAAGAGGTCATAGATTTAAACTAGCTAAACACAGATGCCGAAGAAATATAAGAAAATTCACCTTCGCAAATAGAGTGGTAGACGGTTGGAACAAGTTAAGTGAGAAGGTGCACACACATCCCAGAACTGAAGGGCAAGAGCTACGAGGAGAGGTTAGAAGCATTAAATATGCCAAAACTAGAAGACAGAAGAAAAAGAGGTGATATGATCACTACATACAAAATAGTAACAGGAATTGATAAAATCGACAGGGAAGACTTCCTGAGACCTGGAACTTCAAGAACAAGAGGTCATAGATTTAAACTAGCTAAACACAGATGCCGAAGAAATATAAGAAAATTCACTTTCGCAAATAGAGTGGTAGACGGTTGGAACAAGTTAAGTGAGAAGGTGGTGGAGGCCAAGACCGTCAGTAGTTCCAAAGCGTTATATGACAAAGAGTGCTGGGAAGACGGGACACCACGAGCGTAGCTCTCATCCTGTAACTACACTTAGGTAATTACACTTAGGTAATTACACACACAATGCAGTTACATGACATGACAAAGTTATTGTTACAAAGTGTTACATTGTTACAAATATTGTATTTGTATATTGAACAAATATTGTATTGTTACAAATTCAAAGTGAATGTTACATGACAAAGAGTGCTGGGAAGACGGGACACCACGAGCATAGCTCTCATCCTGTAACTACACTTAGGTAATTACAACTGGAACAGCCACACAGGGCAAAAATCCAGAACAGGAACTTGAGGTCAGAGATGACTGATCTGACCACAAGCACATCAGTTCAAGAACTAGAGTCGTGAGCTGCCAGCTCCCCCTTCCCCCCCATGGAAGGGGGAAGGGGGTAGCACTAACGAGCAGAAGTGCAAGTCACATGAAGGGTTGCCTCTTTGGTTTCTTTCTAGGAATGGTATTTTGATCTTTAGGGATGTAGATTACACAGCTTAACCAGACAGTGGTCTGTGTTGATTCACCTACTTTTCTGGCTCCTTCCCCGGTTGATGGATATTTTGACATACTGTACTTTAAATGTAGAGTGCTCATAGACCATTGGTTCCTGTGCCTCTCTGAGGGGACCAGATTGTAGCTCGTGGTTCAAAGTAGGAATAAGAACTCCTGTGACAGATGACCCCAAACTAACAAAGCACATATTAGTCCGGATACCTTCAGGGAGCCGACGGAGCTCCCCACAAAAATGTATGTAGTGAAGATTCAAGTGAATCTATACTGGGTACAGAAGGATATGATCCAGATTTATTGAGCGTGCACTAAATATTTTTATTATAGATAATCATATATAGCTGGAGCAGTCAAAGTAAATGAAAAGTCTTTCAATAGAAAAGTTTAAATAACAAAACACTTACATCTACGGGCTTTAAAACACCTGCTTGATCCAGTACTGTGACAAAGGACTCAATAAGTTGGGTTTTGGTGACAGGATCCATGCCTTTAGTGATGATTTCATGTATACAGTCAGCAGCAGCTTCTCGCAGTAAAGGCTCCTTTAAGTGGTCCACCATTTTACATACAAATCTAGAATTCATTAAAGTTTTCAAAGATTATTCAAAGAACTTAAAAATAAACATTACACTATGAATATAGTGAATTTATTTTATTTTATGCATGTTGTCTATGCATAAAATAAATGTCTTTTATTTACTGTAGGATAACTAGTATCATCATTATTCCCTTGTTTTCCATTTCAATGAGGATGGGGAGTTATTAGCCTGGAGGAAAACAGGAAAGCAATATAGAACAATTCTAAGATCTTAGAATTCAGAGTCGAAGGAAACATTATTTCACAGTATCTTTCATATAAATAGTATCACACTGCTGTGATACTGTTATGATACAGTATCATATTATGTTATGATACTGTGATACAATACTGTTATGCTCCAGCAAAACATCCACAGAAGACATCAGTGTACGCTACTAACACAAATGACTCAAACAAAACATAACTATGGAATATACAGTACTCATACACTTGAATGCATTGAAGGTAATTGTTACAGAAAATACCATCATTCACAACTTCAAGAGCAGATACAACAAACCAGCGCTGAATGTGATGAAACACCATTTTCTGGGCGAGTCCAGGAGGTTCCCTGGAGCTATCCAGGCTGAATGGATATGTACAGTATAACTTTCTGGCATTAAAGTGCTTGGAGTTTTTGCCTACCAGGGACCACGAGCCAGAACCTGGCCCCCCTCAGACAGGCACAAGGAGCAATGGCCTATAGAAACCCCCGTGTGGTTGGGAGCATTCTATGTCTGCCATCGACTGGGACAGGCACCCAGAAAGGTAGGCACCCCAAAACAAACCCCCTATTCTGGTTACAAACCCTCTATCCTGGTTAAAACCCCCTATTCTGGTTAAAATATTGCTACCAAAAACCGAACGAGTGCACAAAACTCCCCAAACAAAATTAACCAACTAGTATGACGTCACGTCGCCGCGCCGCCATCTACGCAAACCCCCCCTCCCAAGGAGGGGGAAGGGGGAGCCCCAGACCCATTCGCCGACGACCCAACCTTCAGTTCTTGGCTGATGTGATTACTGGCCGATCGAGTGCCTCTGGCTCCCGTTTTGTTTCAGTTCTATGCCTTGTGGTGTGGGCTGTCTCTACTGGTGGGGTGTGAGCCAGGAGTAATATTCCACGGTACTTGGGCTGCATACGCCTAGGGCTCTCTTCCTTAGGTGCCCTGTAAGTACTGCCCTTGGGGCTTGGGGCCACCTTCCACAAGTCACCTTGGGTTCCACCTCCGCTGTGTCCTTTACTGCTCAGTACTGGGCCGCCCTTAGAGTCGGCTGGGGTTTTGCTGCCCTTGTTTGTCTCTGGGTAGGAGGTGGTTTTCGTCACTGGTAGGGGCGCGGGGTACTGCACAGCTAGTTTTCACCAGTAACAGTGGCCGGCTCTGTTCCGCCTGGGTACGTTGTCCTCTTGTGGGGTTTTTCTTTTGTTTTTGTTTTTGCCTGGTGGGGGGGGGGGGGGTCTGCCTTTGCAGTCCCCCTTTGCTGTTCTAGGAGTTGTATGGATTTTCGGTTGGTGGTACTCCCCACTTGAACCCCCCGTGAGAGGACACGTCCCGGGGGTTCAGCTTTTAGAAGTTTGTTTGGTAGAATTGGGTGCCGGTTCGCAGTACCCTGCCTGGGCTTCCCTTAGCGTGTATCCAAGGCTAAAGGCCCTGGAAAACCCCACGGGGGCTTCATGGTCCTATGGATATGAATCGAGTCCCCCCCCCCCTTTGCGTTTTGCGAGTATGACGGTTGATCTGTCCCCTTGTTTCAGGGTGACACTCACCTGTTTTGCCTTCGCCATTGCTCCTCGTGCCTCTCTGAGGGGGCCAGGTTCTGGCTCGTGGTCCCCGGTAGGCAAGAACTCCAAGCACTTTGACTGATGCCAGAAAGTTATACATATCCATTCAGCCTGGATAGCTCCGGGGAGCCGACGGGGCTTCCCACCAGAAAAGAACTCAAACATCGAAAGGTTTAATAAAAACACACCAAGAATAAATGGTAAGATGGCGGGATATAGAGATCGATCTCGCTCTCATAATACTCAAGAAGCTACCACACCACTTCACTCAAAGTGTAGTCATTCCTGTGATTTGAAATCTTAAAAGTAAGTTACTGATTCACTCACTCTTAACAAAGTGATTCCAGCTAGACATATCCCCCAGCCACTGCTCACTCAGTTATTGTTCACACCCAATCCCTGCTTCCTCTCACATTCATTACATCTGTCGACCGTCTTCACATATCTCTTCTCCCCTCAAACTTACTTTAGTACTTAAAATTGACTTTAATATAATGTGCACAATATAGTGACTGCAAATATTATAATGCAACAAATGTGCAAATAAGCATAGTCTGTAACACAAGTGTTATTTTCTCTTCATAAGGGAGTTTTTTAACTCCTGGGATCTACTTAGTCATCCTTCACTTTACACATTTAAGTGAATTTATGTCCATTCTATAGAATGTTACCCAAAACTCTTAACTGCATAATGTAAATAATGCCCATAAGATCAAGACAAAACTGAACAAAAATAATACTGTTAATGCATCAAGAAAATAATCCCAGGATCCTATTTACCTTGTACAAAATTTTTTTTGAACTACATACTAATTTGGACTCTCAAAACTTTGTTATTCTTCAAATTTACAATTTCAGTATTATCTTCTGTAGTAAATTAATATCAGGACAAGATAACTTTTTTTCATTACAAGTTACTACTTCTGTTTCAGTTTTCAATGGCACCAACTTCTCCTTAATCTTTAATCTTCACCTGATATTTGAAGGAATCCTCCAAGATTAAACTTTACCTGCTCAGCCATCTACACATTATAATTTATTTTTACTTTTATTACTTTTAAAATATTTATTGCTAGTTTGATAAAGTGTTGCTTTCAATCACTTTCCCCATCTTTAATTTTTGTTTACACAATTTCCCTTTCTTCCAATAAGATTTTTTATTTCCAAATACTGTACAGTTATTTAGTCTAAGGAAAGCTGGGCCAATATGGTGAGCATGAGAAAGCAGAAATCGCTTGTTTTAGAATACAACAAACAGGATACAGTATGGGATAAGGCTGGGCTGAAGCTGTATATAGGAGGGAGTGAATGTATTTGTACTGAGCCGTGCATAACAATTCACAAGAAGCATTGTGCAGTACACCTGATATTATGAAGAGGTAGGGAAGGACTGCGGTGGATAATGAATGCAGTGTGGAGGCATATATCAGCGACAATAATGATAGAGTGAATGATACAATGAACAACCAAGTTTTATTTTTACTTTTTAATACTGCACCAATGACCTTCCTTCACTACATTATTTATCTCATTATTTCTATGGACTGCTGCCTCCCCCACCTGTAGAAATTGTGAAACAGGGCAATGATAATGAGTGAAACAAATTACAGTGAAAGTTCTACAAAATGGAGAGAAAATGAGCCAAAAAAGACTTATAAGAGAGTATAAAAGAGTATAAACTTACCTGTCATTAGCAATAAGGGAAATATCAATCCAGGAGATGTAGGCACCAATAACATCATGACAATGGCACACTAGCTCAGGATGGGATTTGTCATACTTTACCTAGAAATATTTTTGTATTTACAGTATATCAACTTCACAATAAAGACGACACTATAACTTCAAAACAATAACACTACAAAATACACATTCTTACGTGTTTGAACACTGGAAGACACAGAAATATGTGTACATGGGTACATGCATGCATACATACATACATACATACATACATACATATATACATACATACATACATACATACATACATACATACATACATACATACATACATACATGCATACATACATACATACATACATATGTACATACATATACATGCATGCATACATGCATATTATGGATGAATGTATATATGTATGTATGTAATTACCTAAGTGTAGTTACAGGATGAGAGCTATGCTTGTGTCCCATCTTCCCAGTACTTTGTCATACAGTATAACACTTTGAAACTACTGACAGTAGTTTCAGAAACTACTGACAGTAGTTTCAGAAACTACTACTTACTACCCAAACCACCCCTAGGTCTCATTCTTTATTAGTTCTGTAATTCCTTTCCACATAATTTGTAAATTGTGTGTGAGGTCTATTTTCTCCAATACTGTACCACATTCCATAACATGGCATTTATTCACGCTGAATTCCATTTACCACTTGATGCTCCAGCACTTATTTTATCTAGATTGATTTGAAGGGCAATACTCATTTATTTAAAAATAACTTATGGAGCTTGGAAAAAACAAGATGTTGGACCTGATAGAGTTTCACCTTGGGTGCTACGAGAATGTGCAACTGACCCGAGCATTCCATTCAAATTAATATTCCAGACATCCTTGTGAACAGGAATCTTAGCACATATATGAAAAAACCAGCGTTGAATGTAATGAAATGCTATTTTCTGGGTGAGACCCGGAGGCTCCCTGGAGCTAACCAGGTTGATATGAATGTATTAGACCCATAGCAGCAGTCAATGCACATGGAGTTCTAGGCCTACCGGGGAACCACGCGTCAGAACCTGGCCCCCTTGGAGAAGCACGAGGAGCAATGGCCTATAGAAACCCCGGTGTGATTGGAAGCATTCTATGTCTGCTATCGACCGGGTCAGGTACCCAGAAAGGCATGCGCCCCAAAACAAACCCATATTCTGGCTAAAATATTGCTACTGAAAACTGAACAGAACTCCCCAAACAAAACTAGCATGACGTCATTACGTTGCCATCTGTGCAACCCCCCTTCCCCCTCCCCGGGAGGGGAAAGAATGAGCTTCAGACCCCTGCGCCGGCTATTCACTCCCCAGTTCTGAGGCTGTATGTCAAAACACGTGAAAAACTGGCGACCAGAGGGGAGGGAAGGATGCCAGGGAGCCTTCGGGTCTCACCCAGAAAATGGCGTTTCATTACATTCAACCCTGGTTTTCTGGGGGAAAGACACCCTTCAGCTTCCCGAAGCTACTTACCCAAAGACAAGAGGGACTTACCCAGAAAACGGTCTGCCCTCGTTCCTCAATGCAAACGTCGCGGGCACGTGGATAGACCACAGGCTGGCCAGACCGAATAACCCTGCGGATGACCTGGGAGACCCGGCCACCGAGGCCATGGGGCGCAGGTAACTATGGAGAGCCGCAACCAGACACATGCACACCTTGGCATGACCAACCAAGCGTCAACAACCCAAGGACTCCTCCGGAGAGCAAGTCTCATTCTTTGCCAACAAAAAAAGGAGATAGCTGCAAACAAACTATCCTACCACCAGGACCAAAAGAGCAGAAACCCCTGCGCCGGAGGAGAGCATGAAGCTCCAGAACCTGACCCCAGAGACCAAGGCCAACAAGAAAAGAGTCTGCACCAAACAACCCTGAACTGATGAGACTACTACAAATTATAGAGAAAAGAGAAAGGAGAGCACCCGGTCCAACGACTTGGACGGCTCAGGCGGCGCATGAGTAAGAGGGAGGGGAAACTTCATACTGCCGCCAAGACGAATCACGCAGTTGGGACACCATCAACAAAGCCATTTACTCACAATTCAAGTGGTGATAGACAAGTTCGACAAAGGCCATCACAGGATGAAGCCGCCTGCAGAAAAAGAACCACCGCAGACTCTGCAAACAGCAACGGACAAAAAGGTGATGAAAATCTAAGAGCCAGGGCCCAAGACGATTCCAAAATTTAGACGAGCACCACCTGTCAGCACACGAGGCGAGAAGCGAAGAACAGACGCCGCCTCCCTCAGAAAGGGCGCATACAACTTCACCAAAGCAGCCGGCGCCCGAGCTGCCGAAGCAAGCACACCAGACCCTGGCCCAGAATCCAGCTCCTCCACACACAGCATAAGACAGTCCAAAGACAGCTTCAGCAGGGAAAAAAAGCACAAGACCGAAGCCAAGTGCCCACGGACGCACAAATCCTAGGGCACCAGGGATGCCGAAAGGGAAACTGCACGTGAAACCGCACCTGGCCGACATCATAAGGAAGGACGGGGTCGAACTAGCACACCTTGAGGTGCTCCAACTCACCCCCCAGGAAAACCTGAACGACCATAAGCAAATCTCGCCATTCACGTGCGCATTCCGACAGGACTAATGCCAAGCCCCCAAAGAAAAAAATGAAGTCTGCCAGCCAGGAAGACTCCGGCACTTTGTAATGCACCTAATAGAGAAAAGAGGAGCTAAACTCAAAAAGGCTTCATTATCGAGGCATAATTCGGGTCTCGCAGGAGGTAAGCCGCAAGGGACCTCCCACACCTTCCTCGGTAGGATGCGGGAAGCCAAAAAAAAAACTCCAGGAGTAGGGAACCGAAGAACCCAAGGGAACTCGGACCCGAACCCGGGGAGGAGTCGAACTCGTTACAAAATCGTACAGGAAATGGGAAAGGAAAAATCCCCTCCCCCCTGTAACAACAAGCCCTGCACGGAGGGTACCAAACACCCAAGCAGGGACAAGTGGGGCTCAGGCTTCCCCAAGTCAACTCCTTCCCAGCCCCGGAATCCTCCACGTCAGGACCCGGGGCCGAGCCATCTTCCAAACCCTCTGCCTGTAACAAACTAGGTTTGTTGTAAGAATTATCCAGAAGGTTCCAGAAGTCGTGTAGGGACTGACCTCAACAACGCGCATTCCTCTGGGGATTAGCAAGTCTGAGTCACAAAATGGCTGGCGTCTTTGTTCATAGTTTCGTATAATGAATCATTCTATAGTATTCACTTATTTAGAGAAATTAGCCTTTATTCATTTTGTATTCAAATTGTATTGTATAGTATTACTGTTTATAATATCAAGAGTATTCTAATTATTAGGATTTTGAGTTAAGTCACCATCAGTGACGTCACGAGCCAGGACTAGAATGCAGCGCGGAGTGACCTGGCGGTCATAGGTCAACAGTTTCCACATTCAGTAATTCTCAAAGGTCAAATAGCCATTTTGGGATCGGGAATAGCTCTTCCTTAAGATGCTTGTGTAATTTAACTTCAGTTAAAATAATTCAACCAATCTGGATCATTCAGTGCAAACAGAGGTTAATTGTTAAACTTAAGCCTGGCTAGTAACTTGGTAAAACTTAGTCTATGCGGAAGGATACACTGCACTGGTCTGGGTAGGACTAGCCGAGCAGGGGACAGTGTGGTTTGAGAAACAACTCGGGCAGGTGGCCTTTCCATCTTCGGCCTCCAGACCAGCAGTCCACCGCTGGTCGTCTATAGAGGGTAAAAGTTTGCTCAGAGGTTATAGTTAGGGAATAGTCAATTCATTGCCAGTCAGGGAATACCATTTCTTAGATTTTGTTTTAGTTTTTGAATAAATTATTAGTTATTAATTTGCATTTGCATTATTTCCATGTGTGTGTTATATTTATGTGAATTTGTCCTTGTCACGTGGTCCCCACGAGGCCGAGTTGAACTGGGCGCCGATTCTAACATCGAATCAGGATTATCATTCCCGGATTTTGTAATCAATTCCACACTTAAGATCCAAGGGTATATGTTACTAGTGGGGATCAAGCCCCAAAGTTTTTGATTAGCATGATTGATCCAGTCCTCGATCATTGCTCGGTGTTGCAAGGTCTGGTGATGGCAGCGTAAAGGCGAAAGCAGGGATGAAGGGGAGCCCGCTGATGTGGCCCAAAAGCTCCGGCAGGAGGACCAGGCTCGAATGCCTCCACCGCCGATTCGGAAGGGGCAATCCCCGAAGCCACCCCGAGTCTCAATACAGCATAATTCAGCGGGGCAGCTGCGGGGCATCAGAAAAGGCAACCAACCTCGCACGTTGCTGCAACTTAACCCTTAAGTTGCGCAACACATCATATGATGGGTTGAGTGACTTGCTATAAATTGCGCATCCCATCATATGATGTATTGGAGTACTAGGCTAGATTTAAACGGCCCGGAAACACAGGCTTCACCTCACCTTAAAGAGGGCTCGTGCAAACAGACGCCATTTTTTTAAAAATCGTGGACCAAATTCCCAGGTGTGAGTGGCCTCAGTATTGAGTGAGACACCAAGCCTGACACACGCAGCATGAGCTCACAGCACTGCTGTTCAGCTTGTGACCACAGCATCGCCTAAAAATGCCATAATATACATGTTCATGCTATTATTTAGTGATGATAGTATTACAAAGACCCCTGACAGTCATAAAAATGACCAGGATTCTGATAATAGCAGGATTGTTGTGATAATTAGCACTGTAGTGGGAGGAGTAATCTTGGTGGGGAGGGAGGTAGCATTGTCTGCTGACTCTGTGTGACCACCATTTACTATCTGGACTCACTATACCAGCTTAGTTGTTCGCTATGGTGAACAAAACATGCAGATACTTATATATAATGTCTGTATATAGTGAATTAAAGCAAAAACAGTATGGTGGGAGGAGAATGGTAATGAGTAAGGTGAAGTGTGGGAGGAAGTGAGTGACAGCCAGTGGCAGGCTGCCACTTCCTGCCACTGCCACTTCCTGCCACTGCCACTCAGCATACCAACTTAGTGATTCGTTATGGTGAACACGAATGTAGATACATACTTATATATATGACGTCTGTATATAGTAAATAA